AAGCTTTGCTCAAGTGTGTATCCCTAAGTTCGATCGGGGATTATGAGCATTGGAGTATGCTGATGGAGAATCTCTTGAGGTCTAAAGAGTATTGGCCTGTGGTCTGTGATGGTTTCAGGGAGCCTGCTGAGGGAGAAGAGCTGGCTGCAGCACAGAAAAAGGTGATGGAAGAAAGTCGATTGAAAGATCTGAAAGCAAAAAACTACCTGTTCAGTTCAATCGACAAGAGTATACTGAAGACTATCACTCAAAAGGCTACTGCAAAACAGTTGTGGGATTCAATGAAAACGAAGTTCCAAGGAAGTGCTAGGGTTCAGAAGCAACAGCTGCAATCTCTCAGAAGGACATTCGAGTTGTTGGAGATGAAGGAAGGAGAAAGCATCACAGACTACTTTGGAAGGGTTATGGTAGTCTCTAACTCCATGAGGAACTGTGGAGAGCCTATGACAGATGCAAAGATCGTTGAAAAGGTACTGCGAACTTTGACAGAAAAGTTTAACTATATTCTATGTTCTATTGAAGAATCGAAAAACATAGAAGATCTCTCTGTTGATGCATTGCAAAGCTCCTTGCTCGTACATGAGCAAAAGTTCAGCAAGCCAACAGCAGGGGAGGATCAGGCTCTCAAAGTAACTCACGAGTTTGGAGGGAGAGGAGGCAGATTCCAAGGCAGAGGTGGCTACTTTGGAAGAGGAAGAGGAGGCAGGTCCTGGAGTCGTGAGATGGTTGAATGTTTCAAATGCCACAAAATGGGTCACTACAGAAGTGAGTGTCCTGAGTGGTACAACCAGCAGCAGGCACACTACTCCAGTTATTATCCAACCTATCCTCAAGAGCAGCCTCACAGGGACATGAAGGATGATGTACTTCTCATGGCTTATGTTGAAGAAAAGGAGTTTTCACTTCATCAGCAAGACACAAACGGATGGTTTTTGGACTCTGGTTGCAGCAACCATATGTGTGGTGAGCAACAGTGGTTTACCAGCTTGGATACAAGTTTCAAATGCAGTGTGAAGTTAGGAAATGGGACCAAACTGGAGGTTGCATGAAAGGGAAATGTGAAGCTAGTGGTGGATCAAATTCCACTAGTAATTCAGGATGTGTTCCTGGTACCTGGACTCAAAACCAATCTCCTAAGTGTAGGACAGCTACAAGAGAAAAATCTGACTTTTCTGATAAAGAATGGTACTTGCAAAATCTTTCATGCTGAAAAGGGTTTGATTATGCAAACAACAATGAAGACAAACAGGATGTTTGTCTTGCATGCAAAGCAAGCAAGTCAAAATGTTTCCTGTGCAGCAATGCAATGCCTACAGATTACTAAAGCCGAGAAAGAGAACAATCTGACTCTCTGGCATAGAAGGTTTGGTCACCTGAATGCTAGGGGATTACTGGAGATTCAAAGAAAAGGGTTGGTCCAAGGTATTCCTAAGCTTACAGGAGAACTGGGAGTTTGCTCTACTTGTTTGGTAGGAAAGCAAGCCAGGCACAGTTTTCCAAGAAAGAGCAGTTGGAGAGCAAGTCAAAAATTGCAGCTGGTGCATGCAGATTTATGTGGTCCAATTACTCCAGCTTCTAATGGAGGAAAAAGGTACATTCTAACCATTATCGATGACTTGAGCAGAAAGCTATGGGTTTACTTCCTAGTTGCAAAGTCTGAAGCACTTGCATGCTTTAAGAAATTCAAATTACAAGTTGAGAATGAAACTGGCCATCATATCATGAGTCTTAGAACTGACAGGGGGGGGAGAATTCCTATTGAAAGAGTTTCAAATTTGTGTGAGGAATCAGGGATCAGAAGGCAACTTACAGCTTCTCTAACTCCCCAGCAAAATGGTGTTGCTGAGAGGAAGAACAGATCGATTATGAACATGGTAAGGTGCTCTCTAGAGGACACTAAGGTGCCTGCAGTCTTCTGGCCTGAAGCTGTGGCTTGGACTGCTCATGTCTTGAACAGAAGTCCAACCACAACAAATGATGGTAAGACACTACAGGAGATCTGGACAGGTTCACCTCCTTCTGTAGAGCATTTTAAAATATTTGGTTGCACAGGCTATGTCCATGTTCATGATCATCTAAGGAAGAAGTTAGATGCAAAGAGCAATAAATGCCAGTTTTTGGGAATATCGATAGAATCAAAGGCATACAAGCTCTTTAATCCCATTACAAACAAAGTGGTGATTAGTAGAGATGTTACATTTGATGAGGAGGAAGGATGGCCTATTCAGATGCTCAGCCTGAGATAACCAGATTGGTTTGGGAAGGAAGTGAAGAACAGTGGGAAGATTCTGATGCTAAAGATGAGCAGCAAGAGAGGACAGTAGATGCAACTGAGGAAACTGAACCTCCCAGTCCCATAACAACTCTGAACACAAGCTCACCTCAAACTGAAGCAGGTCAGGGTGAGTCAGATGATGATACAACTGATACTAATTCTCTGGGACTTTCTAGTGGAGGTTTGGGTCCTAGAGTGAGAAAGCCACCATCCCATCTGACAGATTATGACTGCGGCTTTGTCGAAACTGATTGGTTGGCCATGGTTGCTGTAAGTGGAGATCCTCAAAGCAATGAGGAAGCTGCTGCTGATGAGAAATGGAGAGAAGCCATGAAAAAGGAAATTGCAGCAATCATTAAAAACAATACATGGAAACTGACTTCTCTGCCTGCAGGTGTGATACCAATTGGAGTCAAGTGGGGCTTTAGAACCAAATTTAGAGAGGACGGTTCAATTGACAAGTTCAAAGCAAGGTTAGTAGCAAAACGTTACTCTCAAAAGCAAGGTATTGACTACACTGAGGTCTTTGCCCCAGTAGCTAGACGGGATACTATAAGAACATTTCTGGCTCTAGCTGCACATCATGGTCTCACTGTTTTCCAGCTTGATGTTAAGAGCACGTTCTTGCATGGATAGCTTTCTGAAGATGTTTACATTGAGCAACCACCAGGATTTGTGGTTGCTGGGGAGGAAGAAAAGGTATACAAGCTTCAGAAAGCTTTGTATGGTCTGAAGCAGGCTCTCAGGGCCTGGTACAGCAGGATAGAAGCCTGGTTTCTGCAGACTGATTTCACAAGGTGTGATTATGAACACACTTTGTTTATAAAGTCAACTGACAATGGCTTTCTGCTTGTTAGCTTGTATGTAGACGACCTGATGTACACAAGCAACAATCCTGATCTGATTGTTGAGTTCAAAAGGCAAATGCAGTCTGAATTTGAAATGACAGATTTGGGGAAAATGAAAATTTTCCTAGGAGTTGAAGTAACTCAGACTGAAGGTGGCATTTTCATCAATCAACAGAAGTACATTAAAGAAGTTCTGGACAGATTTGGTTTGATGGAATGCAACTTTGTGAAGAATCCAATGGTGCCTGGTATGAAGATGACAAAAGCAGGAGATGGAGTTGTAATGAATCCTACAGAATATAAGCAACTAATAGGTAGTCTCCTCTATGTTACTGCTACCAGACCTGACATTATGCACTCAGTCTGTCTGCTTAGCAGGTACATGGAGAATCCCACAAGGCCTCACATGTTGGCTGCAAAAAGGATTCTGAGATACCTCAAAGGAACCATGACCACTGGAATTTGGTACAAAGTTGCAAGTGAGGAAAAAGACAGCCTGTTAGGATTCACTGATAGTGATTATGCAGGAGATACTGATGATAGAAAAAGTACTGGAGGTTATGTGTTTTTCTTAGCAGGTGGAGCCATTTCTTGGGCTTCAAAGAAGCAGCCTGTGGTTACCTTATTAACCACGGAAGCTTATTTGTGGCTGCTTCTTATTGTGCAACTCAGTGTGTTTGGTTAAGGAACATACTAAATCAGATGGGATGGAAAGCTTGTGTGAAAGGAACTACCAAAGTGATGTGTGATAATAGTTCGACCATAAAACTCTCCAAAAATCCTGTGATGCATGGTAGAAGCAAGCATATTGATGTAAGGTTCCATTTTCTGAGAGATTTGGCAAAAGAAGGCATCATTGAGCTGGAGTATTGTGGAACTATGGAACAAGTAGCAGATATCATGACAAAACCTCTCAAGCAGGATGCATTTCAATCTCCGAGGAACAAGCTAGGAGTCTGTGACGTTGCTGAGTTCAAATTGAAGGGTGAAGGAAAGGCTGTAGCAAGATGAACTAAAGCTGGCAGAAGAGGCTTTAGTTCAGGGGAGGATTTGTTGGAGCAAGGAGTCAAACCCTGGTTGCTGGAGCTTTTGGCGGCAGTAGAATGAAGTTTGAATTTGCTGGAGTCTTTGTTTGTTTAAAGTTCAGTCTCTTAAGTTGTTAATTTGTGTCAAGTTGGTACTTGCAGAAAGATAGGATTTTCAGTTTAGTGCAGAGTCGATCAAGTGATCATGTGTGCTGGTTTAGTGGAGTCATGGGGTGATGGACGTTGGAAACTGTCAAGTTTGTAGGCTGAAATCTTGTATATATTTGTTTCTCTTTCATTGAATAAGATTTGTCAGTTTACACCCCACTTTTGAGATCACACTCCCTAACTTTCTCCAGTTAATAGAATCATCAACAAACTTTTAGCTAAGCTAGTACAGAGCATTTCTCTTTGATGTCTACTAATAAAAGAAAGACCATACTACTAAAACCAATGTGGAACCAAAACAAGAAAATTGTCGCGCAGAGTAGAGCAACAAACAATTCAAAATCGAAGCAATTAATCCAATCGCAACTGGCAGCGACAAACTGAGAAAGAGTTAAAGACAGAAAGTGGATGTGATTTGGCCATTTGGGGATTTAGGGCCACGAGTTCAAAGAATGTTATCGTTTTTTTTGGAGTTTCATACCCAAAACGGCCACCAGTGGTTGCGTCGCCTCCACCGCTTTCGTATGACAGTTTATGATAATTATCGACTGAATAAATGAAATAAAGTACATTAAAATAAATTTAGTTTAATTAGGACGACAAATAAGAAATTTTAGAGCGACTAATAGCAATGCCATTAAACCCATCCAGAAGGAAAAGAGCAAAATTTCTGGACTTTCCATTCCACCCAAACGTGGAAAACAGCGAGGCGTGACAGAAACCAGAAATGGCGTCGACCAGCGTTTCGAAGGGCCAAATCCTCTCCCTCTACCGTTCCTTCCTCCGGACAGCTCGCCAGTTCAGGGACTACAACATTCGGGAGTACACCAAGCGACGGACGGTGGATGGCTTCCGGCAGAACAGGGGTTTAACCGACCCGTCTTCAATCTCCGCCGCCTTCTCCGAAGCGAAATCCCAGCTCGATGTCGCCAAGAGACAGGCCGTCGTGTACTCACTCTACGCCCCCGATATCAGAAGCGTTATGGAGACCGACTTGAAAGGCAAGCGCTGAAGACGACTTGTGTTTTCTATTCTCTTCCCCGGCTTTCCATAAGAATTACTTCTTGTCGAATGATTATATTGCAGCGTTTTGTTTCTTCACGTTTCTACCTGGATTGGGATTTTGTAGTTTCGATGTTGCTAGTGCCTGTGGTTCTAAGTGGTTAATTTAATGGAAGAATAATCAAGAATTATGAATTTTATGACCAGACATCAGATGATTAGGGTTTTCTTTCTGAGTTCAAGTTCGGTGTTTTTAGAAGATTTCAGTTTGATTCGAATGATCTGTAGATAGGATTCAAATTTGAGTTCCTGGTGGATGGTAACATACTTGTTTCTTAGATAGTTGTCCTCAACACTTTCTAACGCGGTACCTTTTGCAGTGATTGTGGAACGAACTTGAGATGGCTTCAGATTGTTGGGCATTAGTACAGCTGTGGTGTGGAACGCAGCAAAAATAACAAGTTTGTTTCTTGAGTGATTATTGTGTTGTGCTCATGGGTTCAAGTAGTGTCTAGAAGTTGATTGTCCAATGGAATGTGTAATTTCCATTTCCTACTTAGGCGACCTCATCGGAGTGGCTTGCACTATGTGCTGTTGTGATGAGGATTGATATTTGCTAATATGTTGAAGCATGTATGAATAATATGTACCCTGGTGACGAACCCTGTTCCTTGTGCTTGTGTAATTGAAAACAAATTAGTCCTCCATCGTTAGTGCTTATGTTCATAAGAATAAGCTCTATTCAATGTGAACAAAGGTTTAGTCTCGCAATAGCTGCTTCTATGATATTTGCTAACATGTTGAAGCATGTATGAATAATATGTACCCTGGTGACGAACCCTGTTCCTTGTGCTTGTGTAATTGAAAACAAATTAGTTCTCCATCGTTAGTGCTTATGTTCATAAGAATAAGCTCTATTCAATGTGAACAAAGGTTTAGTCTCGCAATAGCTGCTTCTATGATAATGGCTTCCAAGAAGATTATGGTTCCACATTCATTAGATATTGTGAGTGACTGGTCCATCGACTAGGATATTACTTTTCCCCAGTTTTTTTGACTGGCTGGTTTGACTAACGATTTTAATGGTCCATGAGGTGGAAGAGGTGTCACATGCAGTGATTTTTATGATACTTATGTGTTGTGTAACAGCAGTCATCATACTATGGTTCATTGAGTCCGGTTACTCGGCTTCCAATATGGACTTTGGAGTGTGTTCTGGTACTGTTCTGGTTCAAGCATCTTTGGACAGCAACGGAACCATCACTTCAGATTTCAACCGGTCATTAGGTTGGTCCCTGAGGAACTGAATTTAAATTACGAAAGAAGTTCGGCTGCTATCATGTAAAGTTGCACTGACATGCTTTTAGGTTGTCTTTTTATTTTTTTGGGGCCAACTGAATGGTTGGTTGAAGAGCCATAAATTTTGTGCCTCTATATTTGATCTCTTGAGGTGAAGTAATTGTTGGTAATCTAATACATTGAGAGCATTTGTACATGCTAAATTGGTAGCCCATTGTACCATGAGCGGGTTCTTGCAGATCCCACCATTTTCCTATCTCCTAATAGCTACTTAAAACCAAATGCAGAAGCATGAATAATTGAATGGGGCTTCGAGTGAAAAACTTTAAAGTTTCTTTTATAGTGTGGATAAAAACCTGATGCCCTTATGATAGTTATTTTCTCTCTGATCAGATTTGTTTGAAGGAGCAAGCTTTTCTGTGAAGCCTTTGACCAGTCATTTCTTGATTAATGATCTTACAAAGATTTGAATACTGGTATTTGTTTGTTGGATCTTAATATTCACTTACAGGGATTCACTGTCATTTAATCATTCACAAGGGTGTGTTTGATTGATGGTAGGTCACAGCAAAGCTAGTTATTTCCATTTCATGTTTCTCTATGTCGATTGTTTTCTTTCTTGTCCTTCTTTCAGTTAATTGATTGACACCTTTTATCGATGAAAAATCGTCGCAGTTGACTAATCATCTTGTTCTTATCCTTGTTCTGTGTCAAGAGATTTATTCTACATGTGCTTCCAATTCTAATTAGTTGTATTTTGTCAAATTCCAATTAGTCCTGTTCCAGCAGATGGTGCTCTATGACTGAAGTTCTTCCAAAACCCAGGTGCTCTAGATTATGAAAGCCATTTATGGTTGATGGCTTAAATTGAAATGCTTTACGGAATGGGTTGAAAATGGGCCTGTCATCAGAACATTACTGACCACCTGTTGGCGAGTTACTCTTAGAAAGTGACCCAGTTGTTCCCCCTCCAACGGAGCATGCAGAGTTGGAAGGCAAAAGGCTGAAGATATGGAAGGCAAGTAAGAATTCTCATTGCCCTTTTTTAAAACTGTAGCATTTTCTCTTCATTACCTGCTTTGAATGGTTGGAACAGTTGTTATAATAACCTTGGAGGCATAGCAGAATCCGGAAAAGGGACAGGGGGACCAGAAGCAAATTGGGTGAAAAAAGGGAGAGAGAGACCCATACCAGAATATTAATTGATATACAATTTAAGGCAGAGCTGTGAGGAATGCAGGTTTCTGCTCTACATGGCATCAGCAATAGAAAGGTCACAATGCTTTTCTCCAAGAAAAGCTGATCACATTTAAACCCTATGTCCCCCCCTCCCCTTCTAACCTTTTAATTTAATGCTTTCTGATCTCCACAATCCCTGCCTACTACTACTACTGCTAAAAACCCAGTAAGTACTTGCCAAACAAAAACAAAAAAACTCTTCTCTAAAACCTCCTCCCCTTAGCCTATCTTTGCATCTTCCTGGACTCGAACACGAATATATGAGTACTGTGTCGGGACCTACCATTGAATATCAGAGGAGAGAAGGGCCAGAGAGAAAGGGTGATTTAGTGATGGGGGGTTGTTCTTCTTCAGTTGTGAAGAGGATTGGGCCCTGTTGGGACAAGTCTCTTGTCAGCTGCAAAACTTGATGATGGTTGTTTCTCACCCTTGGATTGAATTGCTGCTGTTGGTTGTTGTGCATTGTGAATTTGGTGATATCTTTGCATTGGAATGACGTAATAATTGTGCAGTCCCCATGAGCTGCCTCCTTGCCTGGGCCGGTGGCCTTGCTGGTGATGTTGATCCATTGCTTCTTTAGAGACTCCGTTGCCATTGCGTGATGATGAACACTGAGCTCTTGGCAGGAGCAGGAGTAAAAATAGTGCCAGAACAATGTTTTGGCTGAAGGCAGTCATGAAAGTAGGAGACTTTCTCATGTATGATTAGGAGTTGAGGAAGTAAGAGAGAGAATTGACAGTTTGGGGGGGGGGGGGGGAGGTTATGTTTGTGATGGTCTGAAGCTACCAACTATATGAACAAAGATACCCTTGTATTTATATAGGAGTAGCTGCACTGTTTCGATATATTACATGCCTTGTGTTGTGTGTGTCAAAGAAACATGAGTCAAGATGAGTGAGAGAGAGAGAGAGAGAAGAAACGAAACACTGGACAGGAGGGAACAGAACAGGGGAGATAGAGAAACACAAAAGGTGGTAGTGGTTAATTTTTGGAAAGCTCTTGTTTGGTTGGTTTAAAAGCAATGAAAAAAGAGGATTTTGAGAGGAGGTTAAAAAATGAAAACAGAGAGAGAGAGATAGAAGGTGTTATTACTTATTAGATGCAATGCCTGCTAGGTACAGGTTGCTGGAGGAGCGTAAAACAGCATTTACTTCTACGCAGTTGGGGAAAAGTAAGCAATGGATAGGGAGAAGGAATGTCATTGGGGTTTTTGAATTGCATATTATTGTTTAGTGCAATGGGGAAGGCCAATGCTTCGTTTCTAACACAATGATTAACAAATTATGACTTTGCATATTCCCAACAGCATTTCCTCTCTTCTTTTGGAATCTATTTGTTCTTCTGCCTACATTCTCTTGTATCCCTAGAAACTTTATGGATTTCGTATGTCATTGGATTAGTCGCTGTTTTTTGTGATGGATTTTGATAGAAACCTGAATTTTAGGGTTTCTAATTAGCAATTACTACTAGAGCTTTGGAAAAGGAGTAGATAGTGATCTACTCTTTGTATGTAGAAATGGAGATTAATGATTAGATTTAGAAAATGAGGGTAGGGAAGGGAGGTGAGATGCGGGAAAGAGGAAGGAAGTCGGCAGTGAGAGGGATTAGAGAATCATAATTAGATTTATTCTTTGCTTAGTGGAATAATTTCCACTTACAAAATATTTATGGGTAAATGTCAAGTTTGATCATTGCGTTTACTAAAACGTGTCATGTTTAGTCGCTGGAAAAAATTAATATCAATTTTGATCACTTGAATTAGTAAAACGATTCATGTTTAGTCACTCTTCGTTAACTTTATCTGATATAGCAGTCAATTTGAACAGTTGACCGATAAATGTCAGACGTGGCCATTAAAAAATTAATAAAAATAAATTTAACTCTTTTAAAATTTGCATATCATTAAAATAATAAAATAAAATAAATAAAATAAAAAATCTCTCCGCCTTTCTTTCCACCTTTCTTCGCGACGACGACGACAACTAGATGAGGCGGAAGCATTTCGCCGATGGCGGCGTTCATCATCATGCTAGGGTGACCACCATTTCCCATCATCAGCTTTGGCTTATTGAGAGGAACGACATCCACGGTCCATCTCGTCATCATCGAAATCATCCCATCGTCATAATCGTCGTCGTAATCGTCATCACTGAACGGCTCAACTTTAGCGGCGGTGAACTTGACCGACTTTTGCTGTTGCTGCTGCTGAAGGTGGGGATACATCTTCTGTTGTGATGGAGCTTGGCAACTAAAGCAGAGTTAGGAGGCAGGCAATGACGGCTGCGAGAGGAAGAGCGAATCGGCGATGAATTTAGGGTTTCGAGAAATTGGGGAAGTTAGGGCTGGCAGTTTGATTTGTTGATCGCGCAAATATTGGGTTGTTGCCTTCATTATACAGAAACCAGAAGTCTTCTTTTCTGAAACTCCGGATATCAATGGGAACCGGCGTTCGATTGGAAGGGAGGGGGAATAAAGTGATCGAAGCGGGCGATGGGGAGGAAGGCGACGTGACAAAGATGAGACTTTTCACGTGAGGAAAATGAAGGGCTATATTTTTTTTTTTTTTTGTGGTAATAAGGCTATAAATTTTTTTAACGATGTATTCGGTATTCTTCTTCGTTTTTGTTTTGTTTTATTATTTTATATGATGCGGAAATAATAAAATTTGTTTTTTATTAATTTTTTAATTGCCACGTCAGACATTTACCAGTCAACTATTAGGGTTGACTGCCACATCAGATAAAGTTAACGGAGAGTGACTAAACGTGGACCGTTTTAAGAATTCGAGTGAACCAAAAGTGATATGAATTTTTTTCAGTGACTAAATATGACACGTTTTAGTAAACCCAGTGACCAAACTTGGCATCAACCCAAATATTTATATAATCGGAATATTCTGTAAAACTATCCCAACTTATTAATTCCCTTATAATTCCCCTCATGGTTCCCAACAAAAGATAAAGAATAAGAAACCGAAAAAGTAGTTCAAATAATTAAATAGCAGAATCGTCGGGGCTCTAGGTCTGGGCCGAGCTGCTGCTGGTACTACTGCAGCGGTCACCCCATCGTCGGTGCTCGCTTCTACGACTGTGCCTCCACCACTACTGACCACCGCACTAGTGCTCCCTCCTCCACTAGGCCTCCAATACCGGCTTATGGTGCTCCTTTAGCTCGCTATCTCCTCCTTGCGACCTGCAAGAAGGAAGGCAGTTCTCAAGGAATCCGACTTTAAAACCTTGATATAGCTGCGATCTCAGGTCGAAGACCGGTCATATAAACCCTACCAGTGTCTCCTCAGGCACCCCCTTGCACTGGTTGTCAAACTTGAGAAACTCCGCCCTATACTCCGCCACGGTCCACGTCTGTCGGAGCTTAGCCAATTGCTTTGGGGCCCACTCTTCTAAGTTGCCAAACTGGTACCAGAGATCTTCTTGGAACGTAGGCCATGTAATCACGTCTCAGCCTCGGCGTAAGACCTCTCCAACCACCCGACCATTGCAAAGCATCCCCCTCCAAGTAGAAAGATGCATGGTGCGCCTTCCGTTCCTCCCTCGTGGGATGGTTCTTGAACCACCTGTCAGCTGCATATAACCATTGGCCTGCACCATCTTGACGAAATTCAATGGTCAAGGGTTTGGATCCAAACACAAAATCGTTCTCATCATCATAAATACTGTCATAACCACCATACCTGCAAATGCCCAGAGTCCTCCCATGGCAGCACCAGGGAACTCGTGACTCTCATATCGGTCCATCCCGACATGTGGCCCTTGCTCAACACACCAATATCTGCCGAGTTGATGCCTTGCAGCCCGAGGAGCGTGAACGGAGATGCGCCCGACCCCTCGTGCAAGCCTTGCTAGCTTACTGTCACCCTGCTGTCCGTGCCACTCTGCATTTGCTAGGTTTGATTCGAGCTGCTCTTGGGTCGACCAGTTCGGTCTAGGTCGACCACCGCAGACCAGTCAGTTATCCTAGTCTGACCCATCTCTTACCGGCTAGGAATTCGGCCAGCCCAAGCTCCCGACCGGTCTGCCAGGCTCAACTCATCTTCATCCTGATTCTAGTCCAAGCCCAACCAGCCTAGCCCGTTATAACTCGTGGCGTGTTCGGATTTTCTTTCATGGGCTTACGGGTTCAAGAGTCCAAAGCCTGGATTATGGACAACATTATCGTAGACCAACATTTTTGTCTTCCCACGTTGCACAACTCTCTTGGGCCGATGGCGTAGATAACAACCTGGCCGCGTCGCGAGGCCCACTTGCTGTATTGCCCACACGGTTTGAGGATGCTCGACCTAGGTTTGTTGATGTCGTTGTCGCCACTCCTCCTTCTGGGATTGTGCTTCCCTTTCGGCGCCTTGGCCAACTTTGCTGCTCTTGCCGTGGGGTCGTGCTCCGCCACCCTCGGCGCCACGATCAGAGCCCTCATCTTGCCGTCGTTGCCAAGGAGCCCCAGGAATGCTTCCGTATGCCTCTGTCCAACCTCCACCTTGGTGAGGTCTTTGTCAACATGGCCATAGTCCCACGCGACTCCTCTAGCCTCGCTCGCAGCTCAATCATGCCAGCATCCGTGCTAAATTTCATCTCTATGAGCATCTACACGAAAATCTTGAGGTTTTCGGTGTCAATTTCATCCACCACCTCGACCCTATCTTGCGTCGCCCCTACTTATGGCGATGAACCCTTTAACGAGCTCTCTTTGCGTGCTACGGTGGTGGTTGTCCTCTTGGCGCGACCGTCCGGCTTCTACGGTGCGGTCTCTGCCCCAGTTTTCTCCATTGTCGCCTTCTCGGCGGCCTTTTCTATAGCAATATGTTACTTGATTACTGCCCTTGTTTGTCTATGCTCTCCATTGGTCTAGAATCGTAAGGGGCTCAATTCTTGGAACCGACATCTGATACTAGATGATAGAAACTCGGATATCAATGTTTGTAATTACTACTAGAGCTTTGGAAAAAGGATTAGATCACTTAGGGAATGATCATCTCTTTGTATGTAGAAATGAGAGTTGAGGATTAGATTTAGAAAAGGAGGGCAGGGAAGGGAGGTGAGTTGCGGCAGAAACAAGGGAGAGAGGAAGGAAGTCAGCCGTGAGAGGGATTAGAGAATCATAATTAAATTTAATTTTTGCTTAGTGGAATAATTCTCACTTACAAAATTTATATATAATCCGACTATTCTCTAGCACTACCACAACTTATTACTTCCCTCAAAATTCCCCTAATGGTTCCCAACAAAACATAAAGAATAAGAAACCGACAAATATGGTATAAATTGCAACCATACAGATGGTTTGGAAAATGCAACCAAGGGAAATTTTGGATATGACAATTTTTTTCAATATAATTTCAATATAATATTAGTTACATCTTTGAAAATTAAATTTCTCTCTCCAAGTCTCACTATCCTCAATTTTGTTTTTCTGGCTGTCTCTTTGCCTTTCTGACTAGATTTCTCCATCAGACTCTCTCAGATCGCCTAAGAAAAAAAGGTACCACTGCAATAAAATTCGTGCCACTTTGTGAAAACCATATCACGAAATTAAAACCAGTACAAGTATACCAAAACCATTTCTATCAGTAGACCAAACCATTATCAGTGTGTTTGGGAGAAAGATTAAAACCATTATACCACTGTGTTCGAGAGAACGAGAACGCCAATACCAACATAAGAAAACCACTACAATAACCCAATCTATTTTGGGAGTGAGTGAGACAGGAACAAAAAAATACTACCAGTACCCCAAATTAGTACTTGAACAATGAAACAATACCATTACCCC